ACAAAATCTAATCACATAAAAAAATTGAGTCAAGCAATTTTCAAACTACAGTCAATTGAACCCTTAGAGGGATCTTAAAAGAAAAGTAAAAATGAGAATAGAAAAGAAAAAGAAAAAGGAAAAAAAAGTCTTATTTTATTTAAATTTTACATATATTAATTGCATAATGAAGTAAATTATTATCTATCTTATTTATGTCACAAGGAATTTTATCTTAGTTGGAAAAAATTGATGGTGTTAACTTTTTCATCCAAATAAGGGTTTAATTGGATACAAATAAATATTAGAGGGGTTGATTAATTGCAATAAAAAATAAGTGCTTGGATGATTTTTTTAATTATAGTTCAATGACTTTTTATACCTTTTAGCCTATCTTTTTATATCTTTGTGACTATTTTAATTTTTTATATTTTATATAACCTCAAAGAACTATGTTAATCGCGATAAATGTGAATTTGAGATAGAACAATCCAAAGATATGGAAAAACTTTTAAAAAATGAGTATATCCCAAGATTGTTAATCTCATTTCAATACCAACCATAGTGATTAGTACACTTCAATTATACCAAAACACAGTACACTTAAGGATGCTTTTTGTACTAGAGTTGATACCAAGTAATACTCGTTGTTTTCGTTGATCTCAACTAGTTTTGATAAATTTCATTGGATTTGTTATTTTTGGTTAGTACATGGCTGTGAAATATAATTTACAATTTTGTGACTTAGCTTTTATTTTTTTTATTGTTTTTAACCTAATAAAAATCAAAGAACAAAATAAAACCCTTGAAAGTTGAAACTTGAACTTTATCTCTCTATTTTTTAAAGCAACTCGTTTTGTTTACACCTTGTTTTTTTTCAAACCCAAGGTCTATATCTATTTCAATCTCTTTAAAAATATATTTGTGTTCTCTCTCTAAGATTTCAAACTCCTAAAACCAAGGTTATTCTTTTTTTCATATCTTTGTTTTTATGTTAATTTATGTTATTTTCTTTTTCATTTCTTTGTTTTTATCTTAATATATTTTTATATAAAAGAGTATTAAAATATTATCTGACCAAATAAAATGTTAAAAAATATTATAATAGATTAATATATTATTTTTTATACTTTAAAACTTATTTATTTGATATATGAAGATATTGCATATTTATTTTAGGCATAAGGGTAAAAATAACCTTCAAACAAAAATTCAATAATCATGTAAGTCTTAATTTTTTTTTTTGCAATCAATCAAACTGAATCCTCTATTTCAAAACCCTTAAATATTTATTTTTATCCAATTAAACCTTTGATTGGACAAAAATTGTTAACCAATTTTCTTCTAACAATGGCTCAAACGATGAAAATAAATGTTTGAAAAGCTCGAATGATCATTAAATTTTCATTTAAGAGCTTTCTTGACCTTTTCATCTTTATTTTGCATATTGTTTGGAATATTATTACATACAAGTTTAAGTATATTTATCAATATATTTGTATTAAACAAAAAAAAATAAAATACTATATCGAAATAATTAATACTAACATATATAGTTTTTTTTTTAAAAAATAAAAACGTTATCCGATTCGATGTTAATAATCTTAGTATATTCATGTTAGAGGCATACTCATATTTGATATTTACTCTTAAATTTGAGTAACATAACATATAAAAATAAATATTATTTTAATTTAATCTCTTCAAAATCAAATGTTGATGTGCGTCACTGTAGCAAAGCCTTGGTACACGCGACCACAACACTTACAAAAGTGGAAGCACTTAGTTCAAAACCAAGAATCCACACTTCTTTCAAATTGTTTGCTTCCATTACACGGAAACCACGGCAATAAGAAAAAATCATAGTGCCCCAAAAAGTAACATTTCTCGTAAGCATTTTGTCGAACACGTTGCGAGCAGAGGTCTAAATCAGAGAATTTAGAGTACATGTTGAGAATAGATGTTCGTACGAAGACGTCTTGTTTGAAACCAAGTTGAAACACGTTGGCGTGGAGCCTTGCACCACCATAACGAGAAGTAAGTGCAGCAGAGGCTTTGAAGAGTAATGGGAAAGTAAAGCTGTAGCCATGAATGTGAGTGTTTTGTAACATAAATCAAGAGTAGATTTTGAGGGTGTCACTGTTTGTTCAGTCACTGGCCACTGTTTGTTCAGTTCAGGTCCTTAACTCGAAGAGATAAAGCAGGCACTTCTTTGAAGTTGTTGAAGTCAAAGGAGGGTGTCGCATTAACAAATTACAACATTTTCTCCTTCTTTGGTTTATAAGGCATTAAAAAAAATTATATTTGATGTACTATATGAATTTTATATATTATTAATAAATTAAATAATATCGAAATAAATTAAATAATATTATTTTATTAATGAATAAATTTTTTTAAAGATATTAATTTCTTATATTTATTTTAAAAATTAATATTTATTCATTAACAATATATGAAATGTATCAAATATAAGTTCAAAAAAAATAAATAAACCTCCATTTATCATATATCCATGTTCTGTAGAATATTTAAAATTGGTGCAATTATCTTGTATTTTATATGAAAATGGTGTTTTATAATTTTTGTTGACATAAAAAATATGAAATATATTTTATATTTTATTCAATTTATATATGATTTTTATTAAAATTTTAAATAGTATCACTTTCATTTTTTTATCATTTTCACTATAATCCAATATATAATATTAAATAAACTTTTTACTTGAAATTACCGTTGATCAATTTTTTAAGTTCATAAATTTTTTTAATTGATGATATTAGCATTTGAATTTCACCATTAAAATTAAAATTTTAATATTTTATTTGGACATAATTAAAAATTTAATATTTTGTTGATATATCTAGAGTCTATAAACAAACCCTTGAAATTTTTATAAAGAAAAAACAATTCATACAAGTTAATACCAAAAACTAAAGAGAAATTGTTTTTATACGCCACCTTTAAACAATACAAAAAAAAAAAAAAAAAACCCTAACGGCTCATTAATGGCTCTTCTCATTAGAAGGACAATGGCCGGTGTTTGAAAGCTTAATGGCAGCATTAGTTTTATCTTCACTAGTTACATCAGGGGAAAAAATGTTAATTCCTTCTTCAGTTTGCTCTTTTACTTAGTAAATGGGAAGGTCTTCATTGAATGGGCCTAGCTGTAAAAGCTTATCAATGGCAGGTAAGTTTATCAGTAGGCAAACTAAATTATAGTTTCTTAAGCATCGGTGATTTTGGTACTTTTTTTATAAGAATTATTTTTTTTTTAATATTTGATTTTTCGATTCTATTTTTTTTTTAATATAATCGAGTTGAAGTGCATCTTCGTGGATCTAAAATTGTAGAAACATGTAATTTGCATGTCACCTTTTTCCTTTTCTTTTTTTTTCCAGTAGTTAGAAATATTTGTTTTCTACTGGCTTGTTTGGTTGCGGTGGAAATATAGTTTACTGTATTGATGTTGAATAGATTAATAGTTTGCATCTAAATATGTAAAGTAGCCAAAAGTTGTTACGTGTGACATCTGCCTTCCCCACCCTTGTATCCCACACCTGCAGTTCCAGTGTTTAAACTTGAGAGTTGGTGTCTCAAGTTTTTATTTAATTCTTGTCTGTACTGAAATTAATTCATTAAATAATTTATGTATTTGATGTTGTGTGGAAATATGACATGACAACCCTATCCTCTACGTGTAATTCTCTCACTCTCTCTCCCTCTCTCTACACCTGCACCATGAACCTTAACCACGTGTCCTCAATTCCAGATTACTGGAAATGATCGAGCTAACTAAGGGAGGTTTTATCTGATTAACTTAGTGTCTCAATTTATACTTTCATTTAAAAAAAAAAAAAACCCAAATATTAATGTACCAATACCATACATAAAATATGTGCATGAAGTCTATGGGTTTCGTACTCTCATGTACCATTTACAACAACTTTAGCTAACATATTTTTATCTAACCTCTGCATATATAGATGTGAACTCTTAAAAATGTTGCCTATGAAGATTGAACAAAAACTACCTTGATATTCAAAGTTTGTTGGAAATCTTGGACACCTTCCAACAATAATTTAACAAACAAAATTTGTATATATAACTACCATATATACTTATATTTGTAAATATATATATATTTATATTTTGTCAACTTTAGAGATGCGGATGCATATGAAAATTCCATGTACAAGGAAACCTTAGATTTGCGACAAGTAATTACCTTTGCTAGTAACAAACATGCAAGCATCGATTAAAACTATGAACCAATGCTTAAAAAAAGAAATCAATGTGACGAACTAATGCATGAAGCTTCCCCGACCAAGGTCCAGAGGTGACATTGCAGCCACATTTATAGAAAATGAGGATCAAGATCTATGAACCGAAATCGCAATTTTATTTATTTATTTATTTAGGAGTTTGAAATTATATATGGAGAGAACGCATGTCTCATCATGATATACACGTTTCTTAAGCTTATTTTTAGTCTTTGTTTATATGCAAAATGAGATGTTTCTAGACAAGCAACGGGGGGACTAGAGATTACTTAAAAGATTTAAGACCTTGTTTTACAAATTTTTCTTAATAATAATTATGTCATTAGCGAACAACTATTGAAAAATACATTGGTAATATTATTCTTCATTGACAATCGTCACTCCTATTTCAAGTAGATTAGAATGGAAAGTACGTAATTATATGTTCATGCACCACAGAACCATAAAAAAAGAAAGATGTAAATGCAAAGGCAAGGAAGCAAGCAACAGGGTTTTGACCTTTGCACAAAATTATGCGGATAATATAAAAGCATTTGACCAATTCCTGTAATGTTAGATAGGGGTGGATGAAATTATGCACCCGATTGTCAATGACTTTGAATTGAGTTTCCTAGTTGCAGTGCTGGCGTTAAAGCTATCTTCTGCATGAAAAGCAGCTTAGGCCTTCCACCCTTCTAGAGTAACAATTGTCAAAATTAATCAAGACCACAAATTTTGAGAAGGAAGGCTGTACTCGAACAAAAATAAAATGAGAGGAAAGGGGATGGTTGACTTTGTAGTTGGTAGCAGACAGCACACTTGGCTCTGCCTGCTACGTGCTCAAAATATAGTGGTTTGTTCCAAAGGCTAGGAAATTTTGGCACCTTTGTTAAAGAAAAACTTATGCTAAAATAGGTGCTGACGCGCCATCATGTATAAACATCTGTTCACTGAAATTCAATTAGGCTTGACACTTCCAAAAAAATAGGTTCTAGTTGTTGACAAGTGCAAAAAGATTGAAATTGCTGATGCTTATATCGAAAGTTTTCGGTAGTGATTAGACCAAATCGCTGATGAAAGCCGACGTATATAGAAGGAAACTTTTATGTGGAACTGATTCAAATTTGGGGGATATGGACAATGAAACGGTGTCAAATTTTCTTCTATTGTCAATAGCGTACTTTAACTACCATACCGTCCAATAATTATCAACTTTCAGATGCACCAACAGTGTCAAATTCCAATCTACGGGGAATTAGTTAGCAAGATTCCTTTTTAAACTCAACGTAATTACTTTCTCGGTTCAAAGGACCTGCAATAAATATTCAATCAATCAACTTAAGAACGAAATGGTAACAAAAGCAATTGTCAAAATGTTTAGATAGGGAAGTTGTAGATACTATAACAAATCATCATAAGAAAAAATATCTTAAGAAATAATCTATGAACTGATATTTCAAGTTAAAATTTCAAAGGAGATCCAACATTTAAATTCAATCATAATTGCTTCCTCTTTTAGTATTCATATTGCGCAATTATGATCAAATATATAAGGGAAAGATTATAATTTGACAGTACAAAAATTAAATTGAAAAAAACAATTCAAAGAAAAAAATAGTGCATGTGAGTATAATTTATGTGTATTTAGCGTTGTCCAACATATATTTATAGCTTTATATCAAACCACTATTTATTTCCATCTCAAACAAAAACCATATTTCATAATTCTTGCTAATTATTTAAAAAAATTACCACTAAAATTTCTAGTAGAAAATTAATCTCAATCAAATTGAAACTGAAATTTTATTTAATTGAATTGAGTGCTTGATGAGTGTAACAAACTCTTGAGCATATATGGTTTTGCAAGTAAAATGTTCATGTGGTGGATGGAGAGAGATATATGCATACCATATTACAAAATAAAATTATTTTGATATTTTAGTATATTTATGGACCTACTATCAAGCCATAATTAATTTTATGTTTAATTTCATGTGCATTTATACATGTCATAATGTCTAGGTTAGGAAACTTACCCATTATATACAAAAATCATGGAGTCACCATCAATATTTTTTAGCTAGTTGTAATTGGTCATCTATGTGAATTTATCATTTTTAAGGTTATCTTAAGCTTAAGTTGATGATTTTTAAAAAGAATAAGTTTTAGTCTATATCATCAAAACTAAAGTTTGCGAATTGGTTACATATAGGAAAGATATTAGCATCCCTTTATGCCCAAAATTGGTACCAAATTAATTATATGTTACCTTATCTAAGCCTTATCAAAAATAATTTTATTATATAAATAAATCAATTACAATCCTTTTATATATTTACAAAACATAGTAATACAAAAATATTTATAAAAATATCAAGCAATCACGTAATAAATATTAAATCATACAATGCAAAAATTATCATGCAAATATATTATAAATCATATCAAATATCATGTAATAATATCATGCCTGAATCATGCTAAAATATTCATGCAAGAACCTCATGCAAATACATTAATTATCATGCAATAATAATAATCATGTAAATATATAATATCATGCAAATATAAAATACCATACAAATATATTAATAACCATTCATTCAAATATATAATCATGCAACCAAATATAATCACACAAATATAATCACGCAATTATACACACAATAAATATAGAAACATACAATTAAATATTATTCAAATATAATATTAATCATGCAATAACATATAATATATAATATTAATCATGTAATAACATATAATATCATATCATACAATAAATATAAAATTATGCAATAATAATAATAAATAACTATGCAAATAAAGATATTAATAATCATACAATCACACAAATAAATAAATTAATAATCATGCAATTAAATATATAATCATACAATTAATAATGTAAATCATGCAAATAACATGCAATTAAATATATAGTCATGCAAAAATATATATATACAAACCATGCAAATAAATATGCAATTAAAATATAATCATACAAATAGTAATATATAAATCATGCAATTAAATATATAATCATGCAAATAAATTAATAATCATGCAGATAAACTAATAATCATGTAAACATATTAATAGTCATGCAAATTCATGTAAAAATAAATACCATGCAATAGATATAAAAATAAGAGTAAACAATTAAATATTATAAAAGTTATGCAAAAATCACAAAAAAAAATGAAAGCAAACATTACCTCAATGGGTTTCAACAATTTTTCATCTTTTAAAAACTAATGTTTCTTATTATAAGTCTTAGCCTTCCATCCAAAAACTCCAAATAGATCTTCTTGCAAAACTTTTTTACTTGATTGTTTTTTCCTTATTAGTTCAAAACGTTGTCCAAATTTTATATCTTTTCAAAGATCTCTGTTTGATCTTAAAGTGAATTGCTGTTGAGGCCTCCCTTTTGATTTTAGATTGAAAGTTCTTATATAAGAATTGAATTCCTTTCGATTTAGAAAAAATTAATTCAATCGAATCTAAAATTTTTTTCCAAAATTTATTCTCTGTGCAATCTTTCTTTTTTCAATTGATTAAACCCCAAGTCTTTCTAAAATTATTCAACCATTAAAGTTAAAATCTGAGATAAAATCCAATAATTAAATTGAATCCAAGATTTTTTTATGCAAAATCTCACATTTTTCTTTCCTTTTTTTCTTTTTACCTCTTTTTTATTTTTTTACCAATTGACTCTTATTCTTTTGACTTCAAAAAAAAAAAGAAAAAACAAAAACAAAAATTAAACCACAAAGTAAATTAAAAAATTAAAATACAAATAAAATTTAAAGCTTAATCTTTGGGTCTAAAATTTACTTTTTCAATTAAGACCCAATTGCATAATTAAAATCAAAATTCGAAGCCCAATAAATTTTGAAATATCTCTGAACAAAATAAGATATCTACAATACAATATAAAGTAATGGATAAGTAATTTTTCTTTTAAAGGAGGTCATTGCCTAAAATAGATGAAAAGATTGTAAATATTATGATTCGAATTTCAAATACGTTGAATGTTATTTTTTTAAAAAAATTATATTTTATATATTATCATTGTATATATTTTATATACTATTAGTGAATAAAATTATGAGAATTCATTAATAAGTAAATATCAATTTTTAAATAAATATATAAAAAATTAACCTTTTTAAAAAATATTTACTTAAAATAATATTATTTGATTCATCTCATTAATAAAATGTTATCATTTAATTCAAAAACAATATATAAAATACACTATAATACATCACATAAAAACTATTTAAAAAATAACTGCATAAATCATCTCAAATAATTCTCGAATTCTGACGAATAGGTAATGTTATGTACGTAGACATGCAATACTTGGAGAAAAAGGCATGTGTCAGAAGGCCGGCGCCAATTCCATTGACTTCAATCTTGGTAACCCTTGTTGTTTCCAACTATATAAATATGTACGTCATCGTTCCTTTGAGATCCACCAGTTACACTTTTCCCCATCTTCTCTTCGAGGCCTCGCACTCCTTCACGTAAACCTCACCATCTGCGCGTTTCATACTTTGTATTTGTTTTCCAGGGAAAATCAATGGGGAGAGCACCTTGCTGTGACAAAAATGGCCTGAAGAAAGGCCCCTGGACTTCCGAGGAAGATCTTAAGCTTTCCAATTATATTCAGATTCATGGTCCCGGAAACTGGCGCACCCTCCCTAAGAATGCTGGTATAGAACTATTGTTTCTCTCGTATCTGCATAGTACTTATCACCTGAATATTTTTATAGTGTTTCAGGCTCTGATGATGCTTTTATATTGACTGTTAGGGCTCCAAAGATGTGGAAAGAGTTGCCGTCTCAGATGGACAAACTACCTCAGACCTGATATCAAGAGAGGAAGGTTTTCGTTTGAAGAAGAAGAGACTATAATTCAACTACACAGTTTTCTTGGAAACAAGTACGGTTACAGCTTTTCTTCATTTGGTCAATATCATATTGTTCAGTAATCATTTTCATATAACGATCTTGGACCTTACAAAGTTTCCTTTTTCTTCTCAATATCAGGTGGTCGGCTATTGCCGCTCGCTTGCCAGGCAGGACCGACAACGAAATCAAGAATTACTGGAATACTCATATCAGGAAAAGGCTTCTAAGAAATGGAATTGATCCTGTGACACATGCTCCACGCCTTGATTTTCTTGACCTTTCCTCCATTCTCAGCTCAACTTTGTGCAACCGTTCTCTTCTCAATGTGTCAAACTTGTTAGGTGCACAAGCTCTCCTTAATCCTGAACTTTTAAGGCTAGCTAACACCCTTTTACCATTGAAACAAGAAAACCCCGAATTACTGCTACAATATCGCCAGCAAAACCATCTTTGCAATTCTCAGCAAAATCTAGCTCCCTCCTTACAACCATGTCAGCTTCAAGTTCCCATTCAAAATGCTTCAACATGCATCACATCTACTGTTCCTTGTACTTCGTTGCTAAGCCAAACAGAACTCATGCAAGCCACTGGAGAAGGGTTTTCTTCCATAATGACAAACTTCAGCTACCCAAATTCCCAAGAAATATTGACGGCTTCTACTTTAACTGATGCATTTGTTTCGCAACCAGATTATGTGAACTGTAGCCCAAATCCAACAGTTCCCCTTCTATCTGAAAATTCGAACTTCCAATCAGTCGATGGCAGCCAGAATTTTAGCTTTGATTCTGTGAGGTCAACGCCGATATCAAGTCCAGCTCCTTTGAATTCATCATCTGCATTCAATAACAGCAGCAGTACCGATGACGAGAGAGAAAGTTTCAGTAGCTTGCTCAAGTTTGAAATTCCAGAGAGTTTGGATATCAATGATTTTATGTAAATGTATACATTATTTATGGCTTTGAGCATATTTAGAGTTTGGACATTTAAAACTGAATGAACTATCCTTATCTGTGATTTTGGTTTTTGGCTTGTTTATATTTAGTAGTGGCTTTTGCGTTTGTAGTGCTTTCTTTTTTTAATTTACTACTATATTAGTGAAATATTATTTCCTATTTTTTCCCAATGTTTTAGTAGTCATCCTTAATTTCCGGGGATACATTATGTCAATTATCTACCACTATCTGTGAAAAAATAAAAAAAAACGACAACAACGTATGCTTATTAAATAAGAATTCATTAATACAAAAAGTTTATCATCGACATGAAGTAATACGTAAAATTAATAATTGTTAATTTTATTTATTTAATATGTAAATTAAAAATTTATTACATCTTAAAATTGTAATATTTTATATTTTATATTTTTATATTTTTAAATTAATATTCATTATAATAA